TTGTCTGTGCATGTAGTCGCTTGTGAGGGCCCCAAACTGTCGAAGCATACTCCAGCTGGGGTCTCACAATTGAGGTGTATGCCTGGGCTCTGATTGCTCTGCTCGCCCCCCTCAGATTCCTCCTTAAAGAAACCCAGAGTGCTGTTGGCTTTTGCTGTTATGTATTCAATGTGTGAGTTCCATTTTAAGTTGTGTGAGAGTATGATTCCAAGATACGGGTGCTGTGTGTTGATCTCAAGGGGCTCAGAGAACATTGTATACAGATGTTTTGGAGCTTTTTTAGACTTGTGTATATGGATAACGGAACATTTCTTCACATTAAAGCGCAATTGCCAGCGATCTGACCATCTGCATAGTAGATCAAGATCATTCTGTAATGTGTGATGATCCTCTTCCTTTACAATGGGGTGGTACAGTAAACAATCGTCGGCAAATAAACGTAGTTGTGATGTTATACCTTCATTTATGTCATTGATATATATTAAAAATAAGAGGGGACCTAGTACCGTGCCCTGGGGGACGCCTGACCTTACCTTCACAGGTTTAGACTTATCGCCATCGACGACAACCTGCTGGTATCGGTCTATCAGCCAGTTCTTTATCCACTGTAGTGTTTTGCCCCTTATGCCATAATATTCGAGTTTCTTGAGTAGCCGGGTATGCGGAACACTGTCGAAGGCCTTACTAAAATCAAGTATAGCCATGTCGACCAAGTCCACCAAGCAAGCAGAATAGGGCAGGAAACCATAGTGTGTGACAGTTCAACACTGTGGGTTGGTTATTTGGTCCCACTTCCCTTCCACGAGCTTCCTCAGGAACATACAGACATGGATACCAGCCAGACAGGCAAACCTGGCATCCTATGTAATTTCAGAGCAGGACAATACAAAAAAAATATTTGTGGACGATGAAATCTGTCAGATATTGTCATTTACTGCCATTTCTTATCACATTTTTGTCTTCATTTCATAGGTGAAGTGTCTGAAACAGCTCAAAATGAGTGCCTTTATTTTATGATGCCACCAATAAATAGCAAGAACCTGCCTGAAATATGAACCAAGAAACCATTTTCTGTCAGCGACATCTCATTTTTGCCTTATAGATATCAGTATGCTATTAGAGTTGATTTGACTTACTACTTCAAGTTACTACTTTGCCCTGAAATCATTTCAGGAAGGATGAATGATTGAATGCAAAGATGGTACAATGTTGGTAATCAGAAGTGAATATTGTAACATCCTCTCTGTGAAGAATTACTACCCAGATGTGAATGCGGGCGACGTGTTGTTGACTTTGGGAATGCCCTGAGGAAGTTACACAAGGAAGTGCCTGGTGCTTCCCAATGTTTACTGGCAGCATTCCACGTCACTAAGGAAGCTTACAGTTGTCAGAAGATGTGGGTGAAGTACGTTCTGACAGGTGCCTTCGCTTAACTTACCGCATCTCCCCCGGGGAACGTGTCAAAAGTTCAGACATTCCAGCTTGTTGACTCACATGCTTCGAGTTCCTCTGCCGAAGTTTTGCGTGTTCACTTTTCCCGCTTTTGGCATTTTGATTAGATCAAGTAAGAGTAATTGGATTAAGTGTAATGGTGACTATCTCAGTGATTTTAGATGGACGCTTAAATTTGTCTCAAAACACTCTGACCTGTCTCAAACTTGAAAGTAAAAGGTGATGGTGATTTTATTCAGAAGTCAATAAATGTATTAATTGCTAGAGTGCTCAAAAGCTGTATTTTGCTTTTAAGATATGATTTTAGGCCATATCAATTTAATTTGTTGATTCTCTGATTTGGTATGGCCTTACAGGTACATGTGCATCTATCTCCTGTCTAGTTTTCCTTCTCTTTTGATTTTGTTATACCCCAATTAAAAATTGGAAATGTGTAAAATACTAAAAGTTCCCCATGCACACCAAAGGTATTGTAGGCATTTTATGTTTCCCATGAATGACTAGCCCATTACATGCTCAACAGTAGCCTGGATGCCAGACTCCAGACTCATAGCATGCTAGGATCGGCCTACAGTAGCTTTGGTATAATTTCCTTGGGGGCATTTTAGCCCTGAGGGGCTGAGGAGCTAGCCTGTGTAGTATGGAGGCCCAAGAAACAGTCTGGCACCCAGACTACCTCAGCAGACATGTGTCTGCCCAAAAGCTTGACTTGTGCCCCTTGAGTTGAGCTGGAATGTGTAGTTCTTTTGTAGTTTTCACTGGCCATCTTACCACTGGCTTTCACAGGAGTTACGACATTACTAGCTAAAGCCTGGACTTCTGTGTTACTGGCAATTAAAACCTGTCTCTTTGCTGAACTTGAATGTACAGGAAATGATGCCAAAGCCTGGCCCAGTTTACCTTTGACGGTATGATTGGCTGAAAAAGATGATGTCACATCTGTTACCTACTCCTAAAAGCCCCTGTCACGCATAGCTGAATTTGGACCCTGTTGAAGTTGGATACATCTTAGAGTCTTACAGATTTACATGATTGTGCAAGGTCACTAGCCTCTACCAGGCTTGAGGAGGCGGCTGGAAAGAGTAGAAATCGGCCAAAATAGAGAGATAAGCAAGCGAAGGGACAGGCGGCGAACTGTTCTCTCAACGGCCATACTCCCTTCGCATGCTTTATAATCTCTCTATTTTGGCCGATTTCTACTCTTTCCAGCCGCCTCCTCAAGCCTGGTAGAGGCTAGTCTTTTTCTCTTATTTCTTGCTCTTACTCTGATAGTCGCCCGATTTTTTTTTTTTTTCAAAAAAGGAAGAAAATCAAAATATGTGTCATTGAGTTTTAAAGTAGTGTATTTAAAGTTTGTGGGAACTTCTATTGGTTCCCTTAAAATTTCTTGTCTCTACCAGGCTTCAGAAGCGGCTGGAAAGAGTAGAAATTGGCCATAAATAGACACGGGTAAGTCTGCTTAAGGCGTATACAGTTTGCCTCTCCCGGATTTCTGCTCTTTCCAGCCGCTCCTGAAGCCTGGTAGAGGATATTTCTTGTCCAAATCTCAATTTCTACTCTTTCTAGCAGCTCCAGAAGCCTGATAGAGGCTAATTCCTGTGCAACTATCGACATGACTGACTGCTCAATGTGGATCTAATCAAGCTGTGAACATACTTGTGTTCCAAAGGAGGATAAAAGAGGGGTTACGGAGGTTGCATTTTGGTGCATTTGTCCGTAGCAGGGAACAAAGGACGACCCAAACAGAACCCATCACTCGGTTTCTCCGACCCAGGTCGGGTTTCAAATTTTGTTTGTAGTGTCAATTTCAACCTACTTTGCTCTAGAAGGTGGGCAAAGAAAACTGTGGTACTAAAGTGACAAAAGTAAAAGCAGTTGGCAAATTCGTGATAAATCCGTACAGTTATTTAACGTTTGGGACCTTATTGTTAGCTCTAACACGTAACTTCTGTATCTGTGTAGCTTAAGTATAACTGCCATTCGGTGTAACACACCAGCTTCGCAGACAGAACAACCTGTTACACCTTACCTTTGCACATCTAACTCTAAACATTGTTTAAAGCTATCTAATGGTAATGCCCCTACTGTACTTGGTGGCAGCATGTTCCACTCTGCAATAGGTCTAGGAAAATACGAGTTTTTGAACACCTTAATCCTTGGTTGGTAACTCTGATATTTGAAGGCGTGACAATGTCTTGTTCTTTTCTGAGCTGATATTAGGTACTTAAGTACGCCCACCAGTTTATAAAGTCATTTTGAACATCATGCATAACCTAGACATTTTTCTTCTGTCTTCCAGGTCACATACATCCATACTATGAAGATAAATGCACGAGACTTACCTCCGAATGACACAGTCTTCCTGGTTTTCGTGATGGTCGGAGTGAAGTCCATGGTTGTACTCAAGTCAGACTGAGACAAGCTGGAGTTCGTCTTCCCTGTAAGGAAAAATTCCCAAACGTAAATATGTCAGAATGCCCGGATTGAGACATAACTAAATGGTTCTTTAAGTGTTCTTGACACGGAAAGTACACCGGCTGTGATTCGTCTGATCGGAGTTTTAACAAAACTGTATAACAGACTGTTATGGTCTGTTTCGGAGTAATCTCCAAGCGGATTTTTTGGTAGCTGCAAGACAGTAGATGAAAATGGGAAGGCATGTATCAAATTGGCTGGACAGTATTTCTGTATCTGTATCTGTATAGCCGGTATAACCGCCCTTCGGCGTAACACACCAGTTTCTGTATCTGTATAGCCGGTGTAACCGCCCTTCGGCGTAACACACCAGCTTCTGTATCTGTATAGCCGGTGTAACCGCCCTTCGGCGTAACACACCAGCTTCGCAACATTTATTCGACTGGCGTAAAAAAAGGATACCAGCACCCGAATCCTAAACCTCTGCTTGGAGAGTATTTTGGAGGAGAACGCCGAGCGGCAGATCTTTTGCTGCATGGCTTGGAGCCAGCTGCAAGGCAGTATAAAATTGGCAGGACAGTATCCGTTTGGTTGGTGCAAAAAAAGAAAGCACGTTAAAAATGCCTGAAAAGTACGTACTAGCGTTAAAAAAATATAGTACATAAGAAGGAAGCACGATAAAAATGCCTAAAAACACGACGAAAAAAAGGCGAATCCTAAACCTATGTTTTTGAGGAATTTTGGGGTATTTTGTAGGAAGAACGCGAAGGAACGCAACTTGGCATTTCGATCGGAAGTCTGTGGCGTCTAGCAAGTTCGCCTGCGGTAAGAGTTATTCTGTGCTTGATGTTTGTATGAGGTATGTAGAAATGTGAAGAACGGGGAATATTCACCCCAAAACACAGTCTGGACAAATGGACTGCATTAAAAACCATGTGTACTGGAAGTGCTCTACATAGTTGTCATAGTTTAGCGTACGACGGAACAAAAAATAACGATTTCATAACTTTTAAAACTTTTCAAAATGAATATTTTTCGTTGTTATCTTTACCAAATTGTGATAAAGAGTCAAGTTAACTTTGAAACGGTTATGTTACTATTTAGCCCCAAAATATGTCAAACTTGTTTTTTATTATTGCTCTTCTTCAAAGACTGTGTACAGTATTCAAACCATGAAACACGCTAAAAGAAATCAGATGTGTATAGAGTATTATAAGTACAACGGTTGCTGTCTTAGACTTGAAAGCGACACCAAAATTGTACCAAAGTGACCTCGAACTTGAATCTTAGGTGACAAGCCCACCAGCCCCACAAGACCATACCAGTACAAGTCTCAAGTTCACGTTTGTTTTCTTTACCAGGCGTTCTTGGCACAGGTCAGGTCCGTACGTGGTGGGTAGGCGGTAAGATAAACAAACACTGTCAACACTCCAACAACGTTGTTTGGAACATTTTCCACATTTTTCCTTCGTATTTACACATCCAAACGCTAGATCGTCATGTTTAACAAACGGCATAATAGCTGGGTTAAAAATTAACTCTTTTGTGTAAACGAATACCATTCTGTGTAGGGTGTATCTGGAAGTCTTTCAACTGTTGTGAGACAAGGGCAAAGTTACAGACATGCAGGCTTCTTTTCACACTGCAGTATCCAATATTAACTGTGGTTCTGTACCAAAATAAACGTTTAAACATTACGATAGAAAGGGTTACACTACAGTAGATTTGACTGAAAGTAAGCCAAATGTAAAATAGTTATCTCAACTGTTAAAAGTGATTCAGTGTTCTTAGAGCTTCAAACATTTATATTGGCTTAGGAATGATGCAATAGGTTATAAATTTTATAGTACAATGTCGAACTTTATTCAAACACAACAAGGACAGAGAGATTAAATTTTCAACGACCACTGTTGCCTTCATCAGGATAATTAAGGACCAATCACTGGCTCCGAATGTAAAATCGCGACAGGTTCTAGATTTGAATATACAAATGTACACAAGTGTGCAATCAAAAAGAACAATTATAAAACTTAGTAGTAACGTCTATGAGTCTTAACACCTTGTCTATTATTTTGTCTGATGTTAGTTTATTGGGGTCAGATTCCTGACCTACAAAATAGTTTACAGGGACTGAACAGCCTCTACCAGGCTTCGGGAGGCGGCTGGAAAGAGTAGAAATTGGCCATATAGAGAGATAGCATGCCGAAGGAGTTGGTCCACTAGAGAGTACAGTTTGCCGCACTCTAGCGGACCAACTCTCCTGGCATGTTATCTGTCTATTAGTGGCCAATTTCTACTCTTTCCAGCCGCCTCCCGAAGCCTGGTAGAGGCTACAGAACAGGTAATACGCCGGTAGAAGGATAGCCTCCTTCGCAGACTTGTTGGGCGTCGGCGTTATTTTTTTCGGTGAGCGACGCGAGTAACATGCCGCGGAGGGACGATTTTGCGGAACGTGAAACCTTCTCTCCACAGCAAAAACTCGGCAGCAAAATCGTCCCTCCGCGGCATATTACTCGCGTCGCTCATCGAAAAAAATAACGCCGACGCCCAACAAGACTGCGAAGGAGGCTAGTAGAAGGACGCGTCTGGACAGAACATGTCGCCCGGGGACATGAAACATCCCCGCACATTCCTACATGTACACACTGACAGACAGACCGTCCCCCAAACCACAGATTCTAATCAACAACCTCTTAACGTTAAACCCCGTGTTAGGACGTCCCTGTTATTTCAGATTGAGCCATTTGACTATCAGTCGTCATCTATGATTAAAAAAAGACCGGTCGTTTCTTTTTTTTATGCAGTAAAAGGTTACGATGTATACACGAGTGAAGCACGCAGTGAGGTGTGTGTAACGCCCACTAAACCATGGCTTGCACCAATCTTTTGTCGCGGCGGGTATCGTCTGTGCAGTTTATTAGGACGCTGGAAAGCTCTTCATTACCTACTCGTGAAAAGAACCTTAATTAAGACGCTAATTAGCACCAGAGTAAGCCAACACGGAAGTTTGGCTGTGAGATATCACCTTTTGCAAAGGTTTCCGAGTCCTGCACACGAGGAATTTGGTGGCGATGTGGAAGGATGGTAGCACATTGACAAGAAGAATAACATCATTTTTTTCGATACTGAAAACATAAACATTCAACTATGTCTTTGTGTTCTTCAAAAAAGAGTTCTTTCAGCTGAACACGCCCTGTGTTTAACATCTTAACATCGCTGCCCTAGATTGTAAGGTTGCTATAGAGCTGTAATACCATAAGAAGTTGTCTCCAAATTATATAAATTAAGGAGAGGACATCCACCTTGACATTCGACTGACGGTCGCCGAATTTTCTTGGGATAAAAAAGGTAGGAGTTAAGTCTAAATCTGGGTGTGATGCTTCGAAATGTGTCTTTTGTCCGCTTCAAGGTTTGTGTAACATAATTTTAGAGACACCGTCTACAATTTTGGACGCACTGTCTACCTTGCTATCCGAGTGTCAGCGGTTAGATTTGCTGTAACAACTCAAAAAGGAAGGAACCCAACTTCACAACTTTGGGTTATCCTAAAACGTGAACTTTGTTGGCTACAGAGATGAAATTGTACAGACGCTGGCATTAATTTTGATCGGCAAATGTACTGGAAACGTGAAAACACAATAATAATGGGTTTGTCTATTTTGTGCTGAGGTTTGCCTTAAGAGCACTACAAACACAAAGAAAAGTTCCAGTCGTCTGGCACTACCATTGTGATAGAACAACTTGAATTTGTTGGAGAAAATTATGTAGCCTCCACCAGGCCTTCCTACGGGGGGTACAGATCGTAGACGTTCGAAAAATTTGGAAGAATAATTGTCCAGGAGAGTGTCAGCGAGATGACAAATGAACTCTATGGTGGCTAAACTCGCCAAGCTAATCTCGCATTTTTCATATTTGGCCGGTTTTGAACGTTTTTGAACATTGTTAGTCTTGTGGAGACTAGAGAATATGTGCAGTGTCTTTGGGGGTTAGAACTGTCAATTCTTAGAACCGTAAGATACTGTTAGCATCACCAACTATGCACGTACATTTTGCCACACGTTGTACCCGTTACAACTGTTTTTTTTTTCATATTTCAACATATAATCACAAGACGTGGCGCGAAGTGAGGCAAGCCGTGTAAAGTGCCTTTCCCAAGGGCACAAGGTCGGTGGCATGTCAGGACTCGAACCCGGGATCTCTTGATTCCGAGTCGAGCACTCTGCCGCTACGCCATGCACACGACCCCACAACTGTTGTGCAATAAGTCCTTCTTGATGTCGTGACTCTGTTTTTAACCGAGACAGCCCCCGTCACACTAATTGTACCTGACAGGTTAACCTGCCGTAAATACACACCAGCGCACCTGGACCCAATCAACTGGCTGCTAAGTAAGATTTATGTAGTCAGGAACTCGTGTTAAGTAGGACAGGTTTGATTAGATACTTATGGTAAGGATGGGGGGGGGGGCACTCGTCTAGTGACGTTGTATTTGACCTTTTTACAAGCAAGGGTTTATGTATATGAAAGACCAACGTGTAAATGTTCTTTTTGAATGTTTTTCCTTCGGAAAGAGATGTGAGAAATGATACTGGTAAAACACAGTTTTAAAAGCATTACAGAGATCTTTAGAAGTAAGGTATTTATAAATATGTTTGATCTAAAATGAAGTCCAGAAGTGAACCTTACATACGTACAAACTTAGGACATAATTTTACTTTCTACTCATTTGTTTTTAGTGTGAACTTGTGTTACGATTGTGCCAGAACATCTACTTAACAGGTTGTTGCTCGTATTTTCGTGGGACCAACTCCCCTGGCATGTTATCTGTCTATTTGGCCACGGAGATATATGTAGGGTTGCCGGCTGGAGCTTCTATTGCGTGCGATCTACGTTTGATCAGAAAATCCCCCCCCCCCCCCAAAAAAAAACGACCGATCCGGGAACGCCTGAAAAGGAGGCTAAATTTCTACTCTTTCCATCCACCTATGAAGCCTGGTAGAGGCTAAAATGTTAGCGCGTAGCAATGTAAGTGTTGGTGTCCGGGGCTACAGCAAGGCCTGGCATGTTTGCATGTAGTACAGTAATAACCACAAACATGGAATAATCCTGTTATTTACCGACTTGTCCGATAACGCATGTCAGTAAATACTACACACACGGCTAATTTCAGAGATACAGAAAGCAAGAAACATCAAAGCAAGGAATACAAAAAACGCATTTAGATCTGTATCTGTATCAGTATAGCCGGTATAACCGCCCTTCGGCGTAACACACCAGCTTCGCAGGCACGCGGCGCGGCGGCAGCTAGCTATATCACACCGAACGACTTGTTACACTCAATCTCTGCACATTTAATTGCAGGAGTTGTTTAAAGCTTTCTCGTGATGATGCCCCAACTGTGCTTGGTGGCAACGAGTTCCAGTCTACGATAGCTCTGATGTTTTGAGTCAGAAACGAACGCACGGTTACAGTACGAAGTCTACTCGTTCACTCACTAGCGCCCAAGTGTGGTGTAGACACAACAAGCTTCAATGCCGAAAATATTCGCCGCCTTCTGCCGCCAAATATTTTGAGAGAAACACCCGGACCAGCGACTACATTGTACCCGCGTAACCCATCTTAAACATCCCGGCGTTTCTGGTATGATAATTGTGTGGATTCGTAAGCGTTGACACAACAAGAAAATCCTCCAGGAACATTTATATGCAATAAACGCCACAGACCTCAAATCTGAACTAAACTTGTTTGTATTAACGTATTCTTATAGCCAAAACGTTTGTTTTAGTTTTGATCAGTACAGGTGACAAAATCAGTGAAAAAACATGGACGGAACAGAACGTAAATGTTAAGATTTGCTAAACCCGTATGAAAACACTGAACATAAACATGAGGGTGTCGGGGGTAACTAATACCATAACATGTAAACTCTTAAGCTTCGCATCCGGTGTTAGCCTCTAAGATCCTGTGAAACTTCTAATCCCTGTTCCCAGCGAAACAGAAGAGTTTTTTTTTACTAACAAATCTTTCGTGTATTAGTCAGAAACACTACAAAAGGACAGGTCGCCAAAGTTTTTTTCATAAGTCTGTTTGTTGCAGCTTTGGAGATTATGTAAGAGAGCTTGTCTTTATATAGATTTAACTGTTTAAGAACTCTTCAACGACTTGTTTTAATTAGAATAATTAGAATAATTGGTATGTTATTGTTGATCTGCAAATATTTGTATACATTTCACTTTGCAGTTTGTAACGTTGCATATACATGGTTTTCTTTCAAACACAACAACCTCTCTTCACTTTATTGGGAAGGTATAAGAGAATCGGCTAGACAAGCGAATAACGTGTTAGGTATTACTTTGTATTAGGGCATTACAAATGCAGAAATTACCTCTCAGAGGTATTGTGTTGATCTAATTCTGGCAGTTGTTAAAAATCATGGCGGAATAATCCAAAAACCGGGACACGCTGTTCTGAACTATTGCCCTTTTACCTACCTATATCAACCACCTGGTTACTTTTGACACCTGTTAAGAAAAATGGCCACAGAAATACACGCATAACAACAGAATGACCTAAATACAGATTCTAAGCTGGCCAGACTTACCTGTGCTCTCTGTATCATGATGTTTACCGTTGTGGGCCCCCATTTTGGATCGCTATCGCAGTCAGTCAACAATCCGCACTTCACCGAATGGCTTATCTAGCAACCACTGCTGGTGCCCAAGCTCTTCTCATGTCGTCCTCGCTACTTGAAAAATCCAATCTGTCACACAGTTTACCATCCAAAACTGCAATCCAGCGGCAGCTAGTACGTGTGGTCGTCAGAGAGACGTCCAGGTTTATGCAGAAGTGTGTACTTATACGGAATATATCGCCCGATCACGATATACTAGTATACAGCACCACTTCAGCTTACCCACCGCGAGCGACGTCCACCATCTTTTTTCAGACGATATTTTGTCGCTCTGACGTCTGTTTGAACACAGTCGCCCGGAGGTCAGCCTCGATAATCCACAACTAATCTATCAGCAGTCTGTCAGGACCACCTGTTGTAAGCACACTGGCGTTTTCCTGACTACAAACCGTTCCCTAGAAGAATTGTAGAAGGAAAACGAGAACGGGAACGGTTAGAGAAATCCGCCGTTGTTGCTTGCCGTCCGTGCGTTTCGCAGGTGGTGTTCGCTCGACACGTCTGTCGGCCTCTCAGCGGTGTTTGGACTGCCGCACTCCAGAGCGCGGTGATCTTAGGAGAAACAAACTTCCCTGAAGGGTCCAGCCACTCCTTGACGGCCCTGCAAACTCGCTCACGCCCTTCCACACACGTAGGTTCACGTCACAGACCCAACCTTAAGACGGGCCGAACACGGTTAGTGTACAAGGCACGTGCGGTCGCGTAGTCAGAATCGGGACGACCGCGGGGTGGCTCACACCTTTGTCCTAGGTGTACCCGTCCCACACAGACAAAAATACCTAGGTTAAGTACTCCTATACAGTTGTAGTACCTTCAGTGTTGGAGAAACATAAACAGATGTGTTCCGTTCGTAACGTCTACGCAGAGTCGCTTCTGTAGAACCCTTGGACTCAAACCAAAGGTAGAGTTCAGTACTAAGGTTTCCACGCGTATTCCAACAGTGGTTTACCCGTTCAAGGTGTACAAATACCAGAAAACATCCCTCAGGCACTCACTGTAAACAGAAGGGCCGCTGGCGTGAAAAAAACAGGCCCAGACACGAAGCATTTAACCTTGGTAGAACCGCCTAGACGTTGGCTACCGCTCATTCTCCACTGCCTAACCGAACTGGAGTAGAGACCTGTACGGAAATCGGAGCATTCCCTCTTCAGACTCGGGGAGCTCTGCTCGTGTTGGGTTTCTATTGTGTGCATTGTGTTGGCCGCTGCCAATTAGGGCCTCATTATTTGTGAATGGAACCCAAGCGCCCGTCGCCATTGGCCCTCGGCGCACCCAATTCAGTTTGCGGGTCGCTCTGTTTGTGTTTATGACTAGTGTTGTCGCCTGGTTTGTCGTAGGTACGCATGCGGACCACGAGGGCGCAGTGTTTGCACTGTAATTATATATTCACAGCATTTCTGGAGCTGTACTTAAGGCGTGGTGTACTCTTTAAGGTATTTTTTCGGGGGGCAAAAGTAGGTACATGTATTCGTAAGTGAGGTATGTATTGAAGCCAAGGAGGTTTTAATTCAGAAGCCGAGTCCTTGGGCATACGTTACGTGCACAATTGTATGTAACTCTTGATTTTTAACCTCCTTGATAAGTACTAAAGATGTTGGTTACTTGAACTACGATTTAAAATCTCTTAAAGTTTCATATGCTAACATACACTAGTATGTATGACAGTGGCAATAAAAAATAGCCATCTTTTGCAAATGGCCTCGTCGAATTATTTAAGAAGAGAGCATGTAAAAATTCTCACCTTCTCACCCTGACGCCTTTAGGCCTTAGGCCTGTAAGTTGTCAGCCTCTTTTTCTATGTAAAAATTAATACATATATGTATTATATTTTAGCACATTATGCAGTAATACAAGATTGGTGGCTTTATTCGGTGGTTATAGCAACTGACAAGGCTTTATCACACCATATTCACCTCGGGGCGGGTCATTAACGCTATTATCATATAGCCTATCAAAACTTACACAGTAAAGAGTGACACATTCCTGTATAACACGTACAAACTTAGATTATATAATTGGTCAACGCCACCTGGCTATATGATAATATATTTTAGCACATTATGCAGTAATACAAGATTGTATGTATAGCTAAGAAGCATTATCAAACTGTGTATTGACTTGCGTTAGCCTTCATCACCACTCATACGAAACTTAAATATGTACAGTCATGTACGAAAACACTCACAGGCCGTACCATGTGTAACGCTACGGTCTGTTTGGCATGTATTTACATAATGTACAGGGGTGATGGCGACTGACGTTTTGAGTTAGTTACGATTCTTGTCATGAATTCTTGTGTACTGTACAGAAAACAAAGAATATTCATGAAGCTTTCTTTCTATACATTTTATTGTTATACTGTTTATTGTGTTACTATTATGATTATATAGGTTGCTCTTGCGTGGTTTCAGATAAAAAACATTTGGTATGTTGATTTCCACAAAAGAAAAAAATATTGGCTTTGTTGCGAGACAAAAAGCAATGAAGACTGATACTGCTGATATTTTTGCACCAAAAGAATTATTGGTCGACAATATGGTAAACCTGCAAATAAAGTGCGTACGCGTTTAACACTGATAAATTTACCAGAAAACGTATTTAATGGTATATATTTCTTGCTGATTTTGTGACAATGTCGTCTGATGGCATGGCACATTCAGAACTGCTGTTTTTTTTTCTCTAAAAGTGTGTGGATTGTTTTCTAGTATTGTTTGCGTTTAAAATACTAAAACCGTTTAAACTGGCGTTTGTTAAATTTGTGTGCCTTTATCACACCATTCTCTTATCACACCATTCTCCCGTCTTGGCAGAGATCATTTCGCGTCCATCCAACTGACACAAAACAACTTATCTAGTTCACGATTGTCGCGCTACATTTCCTACTGTTCCTGAGCAGGTGTTCTTCCAACAACAATGTCGGGCGGCCCTCAACTTGATTACCGGCGGCCTCCTGCGGTGACCAGGGGTCACTTCGTGCCAAAGGACGGGCCGGCTGCCTTTCACGCACGGGCCTTTGTGTGAAGTGGTCCTTCTGTCATCATGGGGAAACTTGACTTTTGGTTGTACTCTAGCCTTTATCAGGCTTCGGGAGGCGGCTAAAAAGAAAGAGAGAGATAACATGCCATGTCAGAGGAGTTGGTCCGCTAGAGAGTACAGTTTGCCGCAAACTATACCCTGGCATGTTACCTCTCTATCTGGCCAATTTTCTACTCTTTACAGCCGCCTCCCGAAGCCTGGTAGAGGCTAGCTCCTTCTGTCATCTAGATTCAAAAACGACTTTTAGTTGTACTCTGCAAGCAGATATTTAGGCTTGGGCTTAATTTTGACGTGTTTTATAGGCGTTGTGCTTATAACTATGATTATTTGCTGACAGAGTGATACAGAAACGCCTCCTGTCGGGGTCTCTTCCAATTGCAGGGGACGAAAGCGATGAATGGCTTTCACGGGCATATTTTCTATGAATTATTACCTTCGCCAAGAAAGTTATGTTTTCATCGGCGTTCGGCGGTTTTCATGTATCTGTACGTAAACACGATAATTTGAGAAGGCGTAAGGTGTGAAATTCGTATCCGGACTGCTACAATTGGTCAAATGCAACAACATAGAACGTAATCGGTGTAGTCTACGTAAAGTGTAATCATATGATGCCTGGATTTAGGTGGAGCAAGCTTAAGCTTGTCCGAATGCAACATAACATACATGTATAACGTTAGCCGCAGCCGTGGTGAATCTGGAATAAAGCGTTTACAATACGACCTCTAATCCCCTCAAAAGCATACCTATTTTTTCGTAGGGTTTGTCAAACTTTTACAAGTTCCTGTATTTCACGGACGCTCAAAAAGCGAGTGCGCGTGCAGTGTTCACCACACTATGTGTTTAACATTGTGCGGATGGCGTTCAGCACCAAGGACAGGCACCGTTTGCACGTAAACTTGTTGGGAAGAATGCCTACAAGCCTGGGGCGTAATTGGCCGTTTTGATATCAGATAATTCGTACCCAGACGACTAAATGGTTAATATACAACAGCATATAGCGTATGTAATCGGTGCAGTCTATCAGGGGTACGAAAAAATTTATCAGAATTTTACGGAATACATACGATCCTTACTAGGAAACATACGAATTTTACGGAATACATACGATCCTTACTAGAAACATACGAATTTTACGGAATACATACGATCCTTACTAGAAACATACGAATTTTACGGAATACATACGATCCTTACTAGGAAACATACGAATTTTACGGAATACATACAATCCTTACTAGGAAACATACGAATTTTACGGAATACATACGATCCTTACTAGAAACATACGAATTTTACGGAATACATACGATCCTTACTAGAAACATACGAATTTTACGGAATACATACGATCCTTACTAGAAACATACGAATTTTACGGAATTCATACAATCCTTACAAGAAACATACGAATTTTACGGAATACATACGATCCTTACTAGAAACATACGAATTTTACGGAATTCATACAATCCTTACAAGAAACATACGAATTTTACGGAATACATACGATCCTTACTAGAAACATACGAATTTTACGGAATTCATACAATCCTTACAAGAAACATACGAATTTTACGGTATACATACGATCCTTACTAGAAACACACGAATTTTACGGAATACATACGATCCATTACGCGGAATACATACGATCCTTACTAATTTGGTAACTTGCACCACGATCACGATATGCTTTGACCCTGTACTTTATGGACGCTCAAAAGCGAGCGCGCGTGTGGTTTTCACCATGTACATACTGTGTGTTTTACTATGAGGATGGCGTTCAGCACCAAGGACAGGTACCGTTTGCATAGAAACGTGGTGCCGAGGCTGATTGAATCATCAGAGTCCGGCTACTATACTTTGACCAATTGAATTCTTATTGCTGCTGACACTGCCTGTGTGTTATTTTGACCCAAAGAAGTCCGAAATTGAGCAGAGAGCCATTATTTTCTGTGGGGATTAATTTTTGGCGGTAAAGTAGTTGTGGTTTTCAGTGTAAATTAGACCAGCTCTTGTACACAGCTGTGTAAAAGTCACAGTGGTACGGTCCACTCAGTCTGCGTCTGTCGGAGCCACGCGGGGAAGACCAGGAATTATTTGTCACCTTTTTGGCAAATTTGCGGCTTCCAGTTCGAAAAATATTCATTCTAACTTGTAGAAGAAATCTTCGAGGATGTTTCTACGGCAGAGTTGTGCCGTTTTCTGGATTTGGGGCGAAGAAATTGCGGATTTCCTGACGTGGTGGATTTTGGAGAAGACGAGAAAATGGCGCCCGAAGGATGACGGCGTGGTCGTGGGGAGGGCCGAGTTTTCACAAGGTAAGGCAACAAGCCGTGCCGTAGAATTTATTTCCCACAACTGATAACACACGGTTTGGTATATTCGTGTAATTTGTGTGATTTTTGAGAATGCAACATTAGTTTGTGTAGTTTTGGGTCGTTGTTGTTTCAATATATCTCACTGTGATATTCTAATCTTCACATCTTCTCCCAGAATATAGGTATTGCTACTCTTGAGTAACTGTTGAATTTTCAAGAGGAAAAAATGGACCTTTGTTTCTGTTTACCTGGTCTAATAATTTTGCCCCTTGTCTGTGAAACAGAGAGAAAACATGGGTAGAATATTTGTGGGAATTTCCCTCATGGATAACACTAGAAATTTTGCCTATCGATATGCATGCAACATTTCTCTTCATTTGGCTAGGTATTTCAGACTGGGATAAAATGACAAAGAATCACCACACACTTCAACTTGTTGTTTCTTGGATTTGCCAGCCTTTTTTTCCTGATTGAAAAAAACATGTACTTGTACCATTCAGGTTCTGTGTCAACCCCCAAATCCTCATTTTTTTGCCATTACTAAAGTCTGTTTTTTAAGCTTCACTAATTTTAGGTATTGGATAGGAATTCTGTAATGTTGTTAACGTTACATGCATCTGATTTGTTTTTTGTTTAATCGTAGAATTAACTAACTAATCAAACATCGAACATTCTCAAGTTTATGACACCAAAAATAAACCTTTAAATTTTTACATACATGTGTTAAGTTAGTGTTACAGTAATATTAACATACATGACATTGTGTTAAATTAAACCAACTGCACAGAGTACCCTTGAGTGTCTACAAATGCATA